TTCTGAGATGCAGCTTTAGCTCGGTCAGGGAGCAAAAAGTTGGCGCACAAGGCCAACAATATATATATTTCAACCAGTTGGCAGCTTGGCCACTGATAGCCCACTCCCACTGGGTGTGAATCAGAAATGTAATAGCTAATGGCAACAGTTGCCCCACAACAGCACTACTGACAGCAAACTAATGCCCACAGAGTGGAGCACAAGAAATGTCAAAACCAAACCACAACCCCGTGGGTCATGTATTTTTATTTTATTTATTTTATGTTTTATTTACATTGTTTTCTTTCCTTTTTTTTAATAGCTACAGTGCTTTGGTTAACTTGCTGTTGTTTTTAAAGTCCTATTTAAATAAACTTTGACTTGGCTTGACTTGACTAAACTATGGGTATAAATTGAAAAAATACTGTTTAATCACGCTCCCAGTTAAAATTGATGGCTGTTATTCCTTTTTCCACTGCCTTTTATGTACATTTGAGCCACTGAGGGTTAGTGAATTTTCCTTTTCTTTGTATTCGTCCATGTGTATGTCACAGTTATAAGAGCAATAGGGAGCACAGTGAATGGTTCAGGGAAAGATATCAAGTCTTCCTGCTTTGATTTGAGGTTGTCACATCTAGCGCTAATCACATGCAGATGTCTTAGAGAATGGATGAAAAATTACAGCAAAATCCAACATTAGGTTTTGGGCCACGGTCAGCCAATAGAAGTGTTTTAATGCCCTTTGGCATAGAGCCTGCAAATCTTTGAATCTCTACTGCAGGGTTGAGTGAGCATCATTCTTCCAAAAGATATTCCCTCACTTTATGTTGTGCTTTCTAACACTGATGAAAATCTCCTGCCCACCTGGGTTGACTGGTGACTGCAGAGGTCATCCTTATAGTTTCCCAAACTTAAACAGATCCCAATTTTAAGGTCTCTACCTATTTATGTTTTTCCCCTGGAGTATTGTGCACCCTCTGTGCCATAAGAGAGCAGCACACACTGATAGGTTTTGCTGGTACTGAGTAAAAGTAAGGCTATTCAATATAATTTTTAATGGGGCATTCCACTGATTTTACACATAAGGCCAAGTTAAATCATTAAAAAGCATTATTGTGCAATGTGACAACAGTTATATAATGTGTTTTCTAAAGTTTAGCATCTAGAGTGTGACAACTGAAATAATGTACTGTAAGTACCATTTGGTTTTGAAACTTAAAATCATGCTTTAATCTGTCTCTTGCCAGGCCCCCAACATTAAAGAAGTACCAGACTAAATCACTGGTGGCAGAGCACCCCAGCAGAAGAAAGTATGTATTACTTTTATAGTAGCCTATCTAAAGAAAAACACACAAACAGTCATGTATTTTTCTGACTATCATGGCAGTGGAGCAAATTAGAAATGATTAGAATCACTTAATTACCAACAAAGCTACAAAACCTTCCCTCACCAAACCCTGCAGGCTGTCACGAGATTAGCACTGAGAAGAGGGGGGTTGTTGATCAGCATTCAGCACCAGCACCAAACTGAATCAAGCCTGAGTTATGAGCAGCTAGGTTAAACCACAATACTGAGCACAGTGGCAAAAAACATGAACCCTGAGGGGAACAGACATCAAGAGTGTTCAGCCACTAGCTGTCGCCTTTTTTATTCAGCGGAATGAAAGAAATCTTCTCTATTCTCACAAGCGCCATTATTTATTTTTGCCATAAATCTTAATTTAACACAATGATAAACCAATCACAGTGACACATTGTGATGTTTTATGCTGAGTTTCTACAGGCCATAACCTCCTTCATTAATAAAGACTCATGCAAGTTCGGAAACTTGAACTGGGAGCTGAAAGTGAAAAACAGAAGTTCATTCCACACAGTTCCCAGAGAAAACAGGCATCAGCTTAATCTTTCTCTAGCTACACAGTCACACACTTGGCAGAATGTGAGGCAATTATGATTTTGTTTCATTTATATTTCAGCAATGTTCCACAGTTTGGATATTTTGTGACTGAATCACCGCAATATGAGCGAGGCACTTCAGCAGACACCCCAGCTTCTTTCCCCCAGATCCCCATAGAGAGTGCATTAATCATCACAGTCTTCCCTCCTAAGTGAAGACAGAGAGCAACAGCTGGGGGAGAGAGGCTCGGCTTTAAACGATACAGACTGCAGGAGGTTCAGCCATCACTTCTTGTTGTGGGTTCTGACATCAATAGTAATGAATACCTTGGAGCGTTGCCTGACTGCCTGAGCATGAATTGCTATCGCACATGAGGCTATGGGCATTGGAAGCAGGTTTTGTTTGTGTGTCTTTGTGTGTACTAGTGACCATATCTGTGGGTCTGTGTGTGACTATGTGTACTTGTAATGCATGCACCTCTGTGTACCTGAACGTCATCACGCATTGCTGTGAGCGTGTGCGTTTTGTTGAGGCAGATATGACTCATATACAGAATAACAGGTAAGCCTAAATGACCTGTACTGACAGGAACAATTAATCAGAACATTGTTGGTGCTCTTGGACGAGGCCAGAGCTTCATGCTGAGGTTACACCTGCAGGGGCTGGAGCTGCTCTGGGATACAGGGCACAATGATCTTTAAATGATGTATGGCTGGCTGGACCACATTTATTTCAAGTACAGACGTGTTTACATAGTTTTTGGGAGAGTTAGCCACTCAGTTTACCTAAAAAAAAAGTTTTTTAATAGAGTAAACATTTAAAAAGACATTTGTGCAAGCAAACCCATAACTATCGACAATTCTCAATACCACAAAGGTAAAGGGGACATTGTTAATTTTTTTTTTTTTTTGGTTGAACCAATCCTTTAATAAAATACAGTAAATAACATTTTAAGTAAGAAAGAAATAGACCGTCTTAATTAAATGTTAGCCCCTAAGAAGGTTGATAAATTATTTAAGAGAATGCTTCTAGTGTATTACTCAGTAGGCTTTAATGGTTACTGCACTGCCTTTTTGTGCTCATGTTCTATCCAGGGAATTCACTTGTCACTAGTCAAAGTAAATCTAAACACACTCATAACCTGGGCCCTCTCTATTCTCCTGCTCTATCGTTCAGTCTTCTATCAACACTATAGCTGCCTAGCCAGTTTTAAAGCTTTTTGTCCTTTACATTCATACAATGCCAGGAGGTCTTTGCTTGCTGATCTATGTAGGACAAGCAGACGGGTGTCTGAAGTAATAAATGAACAAGATGAATGTGGGGGATATATTCTTCTGAAAGCTCTTGTCACTGAGAGTTTGTCGTCCGGCTGCACAAAGCGTCGAGCCTTCCTGCCTGATTTACTTTAGATTCAAACTATGGGTAAATTGGAAATCGTGAATCACTCTGACACCATTGGCGTAAGATGGATTGCTCCAGTTAAATGATGCCTTTTTTTAACTTTGGTTCTTTTTAGAGAAATCATACAAAAATTAATTTTTTTCTGACAGACAGCTGACCCGGGCAGTCAATGAAAGGAACAGCAAAGGGAGGCCAGCACTGAGGCAATACAAAGCTGGTTTTATCAGGACAGCAGCATCTCAACCGCATCCCAAAGCTTTCAGCAGGCTTTCTGCAGGACAATGAGCCTGACTGAATATTTGATCTGACTCGGGTTTACCAACCCTTGCCAAACTGCACCTAACTGGATGAAAAAGATATATGCCCTTGAGTAGGGCAATGCCTTCAATGTTCACAATAGCCAGTCTGTACAAGTCTCAACCAATCTTTGGTACTTGGATTCTCAGTGCGCTTCAACATTTGCATTAGTGAACAATGGCTGTCTGGATGTCAGTAATGCCTTTCAAATATATATTCTCCCTATAAATTACAAAACAATATACTCAACCACAGCTTATTGTAGGCTATACTTAGCTTTTACAGACTGAATAAAATAAAATGCTGTATAAATATCATTCATGCCAACTATAACTGATTTCTTCATAATGCACTTGGAAACTCTCACATATCATATCAATCATGAATAACCGTCTTGAACAAAGCTGCAAATTTATGTATGTGTGCTCTCTGTATATATTTCAGTCTAAGTGTGTGTGTGTGCGTGTGTGTGTGTGTGCGTGTGTGTGTGTGTGCGTGCGTGCGCCAATTCACTGTTGCTGGCTGCAGCTCATTGCCCTGCAGTAATATCAGGCCTTGCAGACACCTGGGACCAGTGGTGTGGGCCCTCAGAGGAAGCAGCCGCCTGGCAACTGGCCCTGATTACTTTCTCCACTCTCCGGAACTCAAGTCTGTATATGCCATTAACCAGCTTCATGCAGTGTGATCCCAACTCGACCATGCCATTAACCCTGTACACAAAGAGTTGTTTACAAACGCACACACTACACAGAATTTCACAACTTAACCAGCAGCCCACTAAAGCCACAACCACCTGCAGAGCAAGATCTTCCATAATCTCAAAAACACTGTATGGAGGGATTACATGAACCAAGGGTGACATCTTGTGTTTGAATTATAGCATAGTCGGACATCCAGTATTATAGTAGCTGTAATCTACTGTATATAGTTATTATTACAGTAATGCATTATAGTATAAAGGATAAGATGGCAGAAAATACACGCCGTAAGAACATCCTCTATTTAGTGCAGGGAAAAGGAGATGTTTGAATCCATGTCCAGCGTCCATTTTAGGTATCTACCTATTTTATTTACACAAACAATGCAATCTAATCGAAAACGTCTATCAACTGCTTATTTACACTGAGTAAAATAAAATAACTAGCCCAAAGTTAACAGGCCACTTTAAAGAGGTTTTGCTTTAGGCCTAAAATTAGTGGTTGAAGAAGTACACAGATCCTTAAGTATAATTAGTTATAACACGATGTAAAAATGCAGTTAAAGTACAGTTAAAAGTCCTGTATTCAGAGGTTTATTTGTGCTTAAAAAAGTATATCTGTGTTATTTTCAGCACAATGTTCTTAACTTTAGAAGCACATGGAAACTTACTTTAAAATCATTGCTTTCATTTCCACTGAAAATCCTGCACATTGCCTATAGGGATGGTAGCACAGAGCACGTACAGTGCCACAGCCTGACCGCCAAGGGGAAGGAACGCCTTGTCTTTTCTCTGGTATATGCAAATTTCTCATGGCTCTACATGCCTCAGCCTGGAGGAAGAGAAGAGAGGAAGACATTTTCCGAAGGGGAGGTGCATAAAGTAGGAACCGTTTCAAACTTATTACACTTCGAAACATGAGCGTGAGTTACAGGTGACATCTGCTGACAAATGGAACGGGAGGAGAAAGACCAGCTGTAAAGTAAGTTGTCGACTCGTGTTTACGGTGACATTCGTTGACGAGTAGAGGAGAAACGCGCTATAAACGTGTGTCTAGTAGGAGAATGTCCCGTAGGAAACCTGTCACCTGTGTCAGGTAGATGTGTACAATCAGTGTGAGTTTTAAAGCAGAAGGCCGCTTGTTTGTTAACATGTTGTAGCGTTTCTTCCTCATTTATCTAAACGGAGGCTAAAAGTAAGGCCGAGTAAGCCCTCAGACTTCACAGTATAGCCTACGTATCGGGACTTTATTATACTGTGGTTTGGCTTCTATAGGCCTGTTAAATGCAGCGAATAACATCATTCACATACAACTAGACTTATTGAATGTCTGTTTGTAGCTTTATCACTTTACATAATAATATGGAAAAGAGTGATGGAAGAATTCAGATTGTTTATTTCAGTAAAAGTAGCGAAACCATAGTGTAAAACAACTAGTCCTGCTTTCAGAATGTTACTTAGGTAAAAGTACACGAATAGCATCAAAATATACCTAAAGTACCCGAAATAAAAGTACTTATTATGCACAATTGTAGCCTACATTTCATATTAATGTATATGATATTATTGGATGAACACCATTGTGTCCATCACTTTTAATAGCTGCAGTGGAGCAAATTTTAACTACCTGATATGATGAAATGCTGCCAGGTAGCTTGTAAATATGTAAAGTACAAATACTTCAAAACTGTACTTAAGTACCGTACTTGAGTAAACGTACTTAGGAGCAATAGTCCTGTGAATATACAGTGTTTTCTTTTATTAACCTGATTCTGAAAAGAAACTTGTAAGTAAAGTTATAAAATAAATGTAGTGGAATAAAAAATACAGTATTTGCCTCTAAAATGTAGTGAAGTTAAAGTATAAACTAGCAGAAAGTGAAATTACTTATGTAAAGTACAGATACTTCAAAACTGTACTTAAGTACCATACTTGAGTAAACATACTTAGTTACTTTCCACCTCTGGAAAAAGAACCTGTTAAGAAGAATGGAAAATATTGATACATACCACATGTAAGTCCTTAAATGAAGGTATAATTAAAGCTCCACTTAATGATTGTTTTAATTTTTGGCTAATGTGACAGTTATTTTATTGATTAATTGATTTATTAGGTCTAAATGTGTGTATGTAATGTGGGGGGCTTTTCACCCAACAGTCCAAAACCCTGAAATAGTCAATTTACTATTATATAAGACTGAGACCAGCAGAATGGTTACACCTGGAAGTACACATTTTTGGCAATTTTGCTTAAAAATTTACCCACTAAAAATAGCTGATTCATTCATGTAGATTGACTAATCATTTAATCAGCTCTAAAAGCAGTCTGTCTTTGTAGTGTATTCTGCACAACCTCTTAACAAACAGTTGGTGGAAACGTTATTACAAATACATGCTGTGCAACCTCAGAATTAAGTTTTAAATTGCTCTGGAAAATGTGCAAAGATAACAAATATTTCAGACCGGATTTTGGGGAAATGTGTGTAACATAATGCACTAGACATATTAACTATTTCAGTTTGATGTAATGGTGCTTCCATAAAAACATGGATTCTTGGGTTTGATTATTTAACTTAGTGCAGAAGTCATACTGTACATCTTAAATGATAATTATATAATATACATAATAATGACAATTAAATGCAATTTTCTTCAGTCACTCTATGAACATCATTCCAAAGTGGATTTAATACACCGTCTATGCTGCTGAAAAGAGGTCCAGATGATCCAAGATGACTCAGGCACTTCCGAGCCAGAGCTTAGCTTCAGACCTGCTGGAAGCAGTAGATACTGAGGAGCTCCAGCTCAGAGTGGACTTCTTCAGGAAACTGGGTTATTCCTCAGCAGAGGTGAATTCTGCTCTGAGGAGGCTGGGGCTCAGCACAGACACCAACTCAGTGCTCGGAGAGCTGGTCAGGAACAGGACCGGCACTGCACCCTGTGTGTCAAATTCTGACAGCGATGAAAGGAACGTGGGCCAAAGGGACTCTCTGCTGCCTCTCAGCTGGGCTCTTGGACCCAGAATCACACCACAGCTGGGGGACAGGAAGAATACAGACACAGAATTGAGGCCTATTGTTATTGATGGCAGCAATGTTGCAATGAGGTAATCACCTTAACTTCCTGTAAATCATACATCATTTTGATTGCTGCTTTGTTTTGCTTCTTTGAACTATAGAGCCATTTCACTACCTGTAAATAAAGATTTATTACATCCTGCAACTTCAAAATCTAGTACTGACTTGTAAAATGAGGTTTCAAGCTATCGCTCATCACCTTATTGTCATTCAGCTCTGACCCTGATAACGTGCATTTTTCTCCTTTGCTGTGTAATTTGACATTTTTAAAAGGGCGTTCACCACCACCCCGCCAGTGCTTTTTTGTTCCTTTTTTTTTGTTAAGGACACTGCTACAATATGCAAATTTTTGACACACCTCAAAATCTCTACCTTTCAATAGATATGAAGTTATACAGTACGTGACATTTGCAGTGAATAATAGCCTGAGCCTGAGTTCCCTGAGAGAATATTCAAAGGCATAGGGTGTTTACACAGATCAACTGAATTCTTACAGTTCAAATTATAGTCAGATTATGTGTACTCATGTTTACTGACCTCTTTCTGTTTATAGTCATGGCAACAAGGAAGTGTTCTCCTGCCGAGGTATCCAGCTGGCAGTGAATTTCTTCCTGGACAGAGGTCATAATACCATTACTGTGTTTGTTCCCACTTGGCGCAAAGAGCAACCCAGACCTGATGCCCCCATAACAGGTGAGCGTATACCGCAAGAAATACTCAATCAAGCAAGCAGATAGCTCTCATCAAGCAGGTTTGAGTTAGTTTAGCCACAAAAGTATTTCTCAGTTAAAGCAAACATAATCTCACTGAATAAACCATTAGTAAACAGAGGCAAACACCCCCATTTTCAGAGAAGTTTTACAAACTGGCAAATTGAAATGAGAAATATGGAGGTCTGGTTCAAACAGAAATAGTACTGACCTCTTTTTTAACAGTCACAGCAGGTCAGCCAGGCAGAGTAAACAGGAGATACAGTAGCAGGAAGAGAAGTAATGACTCTGCACTTTCCTGGCATACAAAACCTTACACAACAGAAATACCAGTGTCGGGGCGCTCGACTTGATGCCAGTTTGTACAGCTACAATGACAAGACAATTACTCTAATAAAGTTAAATGCCCTAATCACTTACAAAATATTTTGGTGTCACTTTACTGACTCCCAGCCAGTAAAGAAGCAGTCTAGTGGTGAAAGAAATACCCAGAAGAGAAAAGGTTTGCACTTCCGAGTATTATGCACTCTGTGCGCTTTGTCATCTTTACTAAGCTTTCATCCAATGTTAAAGGAATAGTTTGGCATTTAGGGAACTACACCTATTTGCCTTCAAGCAGGAGGTTAGATGGCATGATGAATGCTGCTCTCATATCTGTCTATATAAGGCATCAGAAAGTGGGGATTTGATTTGATTTACTGTAGGCTAGAGACTTGTATTTAATGTACAAATATAAATATCATATCAATCTTCCCATCCAATTCTCTGCCAGAAAGCAAATAAGCATATTTTCCACAATGTTGAAAATATGTTCAATGTTCCTTCTTTAATTTTCCAGGAACTTGTGGTTCTTTTGCTTTGCTTCCATAAAGTTTAATTCAGTCACTTAGATTTATTCCTCAAGAGATATTCTATTACCAAGAAATATGAATATGTCTAAGACTTAAATCTCCTCTAATACTGTAGCTGTAGGTGTGTGTATTCGTGAATCTGTAATTCATTTCACAGTGGTTATGATGTAATGTCTCAATATGGTCAAAGGCAGAATTACTGAACTCATGCCAAAGTATCAGGATGACAATTGCGAAACAGAGATTTATCCAATTGACTGCCAAGTTATGTGTCAGTATTAGGCAATGGCAGCACAAATTAGGTGTGCAAATTAAAATGATTTGTAGCAAATGATTTGCAGGGGGCGTTTCTTAACAATCCAGATGTCTGCATTACACCATGTCTTTGAATTGAGAAGTTGCCCTACCCCCTAAGAACTCCAACAATAACTGCTTAATAAAGGCTGGACTGTGCTTTTGATGCATCATCACCTTGTAGCTTTTAGGCTTTTGTAACTCAGTCTGGGTGGAGTAATTCAAGGGTTCTATTTTCAGTCCACAAACAAGGAAGTAAAATTCAGCCTGCAGTCATTCCTGGGAAAGCCCCATCAGGAAGTTAAGCTGTGTTTTTATTTCCACACCTAGTTTACTCACTACTGACAATCATCTACAGCAATAAAAAAAAAAACTGTGTCATAGCACCATTAAATTCATTGTAAACTGCTGTAAATGCATTTGGAATAGGTAGTACAAATAGTTCATGTACATTATCTCTCTGCAGCACTGACTCAAACATGATTGTTTGCACTTTCAGATCAACACCTACTGATGGAGCTTGAAAAATGTAAAATACTTGTCTTCACTCCATCACGTCGAGTTGGAGGTAAGCGAGTGGTTTGCTATGATGACCGCTTTATCGTCAAGGAGGCGTATGAGTCAGATGGTGTGATCGTATCCAATGACACATACCGTGACCTCCAAGGGGAAAGACCCGAGTGGAAGAAATGCATCGAGGAGAGACTCCTCATGTACTCTTTTGTCAATGACAAGTAAGAAATTAATCTGTTTCTCTGATGGAGCCTGTGAGGTGTCACATTTTCCTTCCATGAATAATTTTAATGTGGTTCCAGGGTGAATAGCACAGCTTAAGAGAAACATAATTAGCCCATACCCAGCTGATTTGTCGTAAGTAAATGAAGTAATCAACAGTCAGTTGCTGCTGTTGTTGTTGTTGTACAGGTTCATGCCCCCAGATGACCCTCTGGGTCGCCATGGCCCCAGTCTTGACAACTTCCTTAGGAAAAAGCCTCTGCCTACAGAGCAGAAGCGACAGCTCTGTCCATATGGTAAGATAATATTAGCACAGAGATCAGGAGGAAAAGCACAAATGCATTGTAGAATTGCCACACTGTATCTTGGACAGAAAAGAAATGTTGCTGTTCCCAAATGAGATGATCTATACAATAACCTTTTGTGTTTGTATCTGTTTTTGTTTTCCTCAGACAAAAAGTGTACTTACGGCATCAAATGTAAGTTCTACCATCCAGAGCGGGCAAACCAATCCTATCTGTCCCTGGCTGATGAATTAAGAGAAAAAGCCCATATTTCTACTGTAAAAGAACAGCGAAATGCCACATTATCACCCAGTCAGGTTCATTCTGACCCTGGGCCTCCTCAGAGTGCCAGCTCCCATCCTCGACACTCTAGCACAGAGCTCATTAGAGACCAGCAAAAGTCTCCACGTCCTGGTCAGGTTAGTGAAAATAAACTGCTGCATTGGGATGGTTCTAAAAACAGTCAAAGTCATATGCCTTGTTCTATAACAGGAGGCCACTGTCCAACAGATTGGCCAGGGCCGCATTCGGTGCTCGGTCATTACTATCCCAATGTCTCACATGAGTACCTAGATTCTGGCCTTGGCTCTTTTGAGAGCCAGTACCCTGATATTTGCCTCAGCAACACTCACAGGCTCAGGTCCCACGCTGGACCCAGACATGTCTCAGCGCATTTAGGGAAAAATAACACCATCGAGTCCTGTAGCACCTGTTCAAACGTAGCTCGCCAGCAACGTCGTAGAAATCTGGATGCCAAGGGTCAGCCCAGCTACTCTCCTCACATGTTTCTGCCCAATGTGTCGCACCAACACAGCCTGCCCACCCACCTCCATTTCAGTGGAACCCCCCATCATCAGCAAAATTACTGGTCAGATCCGTTTCAAGGGCTGTCCCAAGTCAGGACATCGTGCAGCCACCCATCTTCGGTCCATTCTTCACACTCCCAGAACTCTTGCTGCTCCTGTGAGAGCTACCAGTGCCATGCCTGGAGCCAACAACCGCCATTGTCTCCTGTGTTTGACCCACAGAGGTTGGAACTCCGTAAGAAACTGCAAGCCATCTTCAACCCATATCAGGTGGATGCTGTCATGAAAATGTTCCCTCATGTGATGGATGCAGAGAAACTGGCTGCAGAAATCCTCAACCTGAAAGCTCAGAGTGGGGTATTCTGATCATTTCTCTAACAGTTTTATTCCCTTGCAGCCTTTTCACTTGATCTCTATCATATCAAACAGCAGATCTTTTGAGAAGCTTCTATAGTGTCTATAGCGGCATGATTTGAAAGCTAATTACAAAGATGTTACGTGAAAATTGAATATCGACTTTTGAACAGTTTAGATGATCTGTTCTGAGTTATATGCATTTGTATGACATTATAGTCAAACGTGATCCTCTATGTTTTGGACGAAAAGTGCCTCTAGACTAAAAGTAGTTCAGGCTGAGAGTCTAGAATTTTGACTGTTGATGCATATTGTGTCAAATGTGATGTGTATTAAGCTCTCATGCAATAAGAAATTGATGTATAAGTATTATTTGTTTACTTCCACTGTAATTCTCTAGAACAGGCTGCTGTTCAGTGTTAGGCTACTGTATCTCTGTCAGGTGTAGCTACAGTATATTTCAATATGCGGTATATTCAATATATGCAATACACCCAGTGCATTCATCTGGTGTCAGTCCAGAAAAGGATCTTGACTTTCAAATAGTATTTATAGTAAAATATTATCCAACAAGGAAACTGAGAAAAAACTTTGACACTACTGAACAGAGTCTACTGCCAGTGTGCCCTTGTCCTCTTCCTGTAAATCAGTGTCAGTTTTATGAAACACTGTCAGAACAGGAGTTGCTAAGACATTACATTTATATTTTGGTAAATGTGTGATTGAAAATTATCTAAATATGTCATTAAAGGTATTTTTATTCTCATGAATACACAAATTACTATACATGTATACTATATGACTGGCATTCAATGTATAGAGAAAACCATGTCACTATTATGAGTGCCAGTTTGGGAGTTACTTGTAAGGTTAGTGAGCTTAGCTAATGCCTCTGTAAATATCTCCAACATGTATCAGAAACTCAGGAATCCAAGTATTAGCGCTCATTCATACTTTTATCATATTCACAAATTTTGTGCAACCACAGCTTCACAGAGTTGCTAGCATGACTACAGACTGTTATTCTTGTTTTGATTTAAGGGAAAACAACACAATTTCCACACATTAACATTAATACTGAAATGAGCTCAGACTGCAGATTGGAAAAAAAAAACTGTATCTTTGTCTTTAGCTGAACCTATGTGTCTGATACTTTGACCTTTGGGATTTATCTCTAAAGATCGTTTAAAGTTAAGTTTCAGATATTACCCAACATTTGTTCACAGTAAAAGCATTATTTGTTCAAGGCAAACATTCACACAGTCAATACTGAATGTAAATGCATAGTTAACAGAATTTTCTGACATTTCAGTTCTTTGGAAATTAAAATACTTAATGAGAAGATACAGGTGTCTATTTTGTCTCATGCTTATTTATGGGTTGTTGTTGTTTTCTTGTTTAGACAGGTATGTTTCAGTTCTTGCTGAACTGTATCACTGCTCACCAATGTAAGAGAAGCACCACCATATTCTGTCAGTAGCTGTAGGTTGGTGAGACATGGAGATGTCTTGAAATGGCTTTGAGTCAGACTTATTTGGAGTGAAAATCATTTTAGGCTAATATTTGAATTTCACTCAGGGCAAGAAAAATGTTTTTATTCATGGTGCTCAACAGGTTTTTAATGCCTAGAGTAAAGTTTTATAACCACACCTAACCCTGTGCATGAAATTCTCAATTTCTGTGCTAGATACTGAGACCTTTTTTGCTAGTTTTGTGGACAGACTTCAGCAACAATGTCAGCACAAGTTCAGGAGTTACATTATGCAAATCTACATTACTGCCTGGCCAAGTTTCCCACAGTTTCTTGGAACTATGTTTGTTGAAATGGTATTTTATTAAGAATAACAAATTAAAGGATAATTCACATACAGTACAAGACACATATACATGGTTTTATGCTGTTCGTTGATACAGAACTGTTTTTCAATATATCAGATCCATAACTGTAACTATTGAACTTCTTTCACTTGGTCCTCTGCTCCATGTATTTTTGTCATTCCCAGGCCATCAGTAGTTTATGGAATGGTACAAAGGCACCATATCCAGGCATGCTGCAAAGCACAGAGGTTAAATTAAAATTCTGAAAAAAAAAACTGAAAAATTGAGTAAAAGGAAAGTAGCGTAAACAACACACAATATTTAAATGTACACTTGTTCACCTGTGTAATTATTGGATTTCACTCCTTGGGTTTATGAGGAGAAGACTTTAGATTTACATTTTAAGTCCTGTTTCCAACCACAAGTCAAATTTGTCTTCACTGTAGGCAAATGAGTTCACGTCTCATATTTCAAGTTCAAGCTGCACTCGTGCTGTTATTTAAGTCTCTTATGTTGACCTCAAAGATTTGCATACTCAGCTCAGCCAGCCTAATTGCACAGGAGTTGTTTGTTAAATACCTAAGGGCTGTAGTGGTGTGCTACACTGACAGAAACCCTATGATTTATTATTATATAATGTCATTTTATCAATAATTACAGTTTAATAACAGACAGTTTACAGAGGTCACAAGTTAAAGTTAATGTATTAATGTAATATGTAAATCAGCTGCGATTTGTGATTGGAACAGTAGCAACTTCCAAAATACACATTTGAAAAATGTTTGTAAGGTTTATATAAAGCATTTGAATTGGCTTTTCAAAAAGGAGATGAAATTATCCTAGTAAAGCAGCAATGAGTGGAATCCCAGTACAACTGTAGAGGTCAGTTTGCACAGCCTGAGATGCATTAAGAAGCTACATGTTGCTTGTGTTAGATCTGTTACCATTCAAAGTATCTCTGTCCTCTGTGGTGGCCATCATGCAGTCTATGATCAGGTGTCTGCAACTCCACCCCAAGGTAGAAATCTGCCTCCCCCTGCAGGTGGCCCAGGAAACGAATTGTTCCTGTGCTGATCCGTCCAGATGGCAGCATGACCCTGACCCGGTGACCCAGCTGCAGGTCCATGGGGGAGTGGGGCACAAAAACCCGGTGAGGCCCTTGGGACATCCTCCATGACTGTACACTGAAGGAAGAGAGGGTTTAGTTAATAATACAACAAAAAGATGACTTGTCAGGTTTATACAGATTTGTACTGATTTTACTGAAAAGACCTAACTTCTGATTTAACATTAAATTTAAACATGTAATGTTTGCAAATTGGTAAACTACAGATTGAAGGAGTAGATTTTGGAAATACACATATTTGCTTTCTGGTAGATTATTAGAAGATCAGAGGGTTGATTATTTGTAAAGTAAATATAGCCAGTCAAAGGTTAGCTTAGGTTTCCATAATGACAGGGGGATTCAGCTAGCCTGACTCTGTCCAAAGGTACCAAAAGTCACCCTCCAAGGCCTCTGAAGACAGATTTCCCCAATGGGGACCATAATAATGGGATGGCTGTGGCTCAGGAGGTGGAGCGGGTCATCCCCTAACTGGGAGGTTGGAGTTCCGATTCCCAGTTTCTCCAGTTCACGACGCAGTGTCGTTGAGCAAGACACTGAACCCGGTGATGTCACCAATTTGTGAATGTGTGTGTGCTTGGGAGTGTGAATAGATGAATGGGCAAATAGTGTGAAAGCACTTTGAGTGTGCTGCGATAAAAAAAACACTATACAAGTATAAGACCATTTACCAATAATAACAATAAAAACCCCTGTATTTATTACATAGAGTAAACAAACAAACATGATATGACCTTTAGACAGAGTCTGGCCATCTGTTTCCCGTTACCAGTTTGTGTTTAACCAGCTGGTTGTAGCTTCATGTTTGTTCTACCTAGTGGCTGAGGATGCACAGGAAGGTCCTGAGCTCAGTGCTGATGATGAGGATGCCTGTCTGCCTGAGATACTGCCTGTACTAGTGTTACCTCTTGATGACACCTCAGCCTCTCTGTGCTGGCACATCAGTCTTGAGGGACCACCTGTTCATTAGAGAATAGCAGCTGACATCATTAATGAATTCCAAGGTGTGTGTGTACAGTATTACCACTTAAGCAAGAACTCAGTGTGTATTTCTGTCATTTACTTGAGTTCTCCTCAAACACTTCTCCATTGTCCAGTCCTGACTCTCCTTGGCCATTGCAACTGCTCACTTCTGTGAACACGCCAGCCTCAGTGGCCAGCTGACGAAAAGGAGACAAGTACAATATGAGGTCATACACACAGCCTCAGTCAAACGCACACAAGCATTAGCAAACACACCTGATTATGTAGCTCTTCCTGTTTTCTTTGCAGCTCTGCAAATCTCCTTTTCCATGATGCTCTCTCACAAGCAATCCTGGTCTTGAGTGACAGGATCTCTTTCTTAGTTTTAGTCAGTCTTTTATGAAGGGCAGTAGTTATGTCAGGGCTGCGTAGTATGAATGCAGTCCCTGTACTTTCAGAACCTGACAAAGTCAAATAAGTCATCATATCTCAACTTACATATGCTGAAGAGATGTACAGTAAATTTACAGTAGGATGCAGATAGGCCTTTGGCTTCATAAACCAAATAAATCAGTACAGCTTCTTATAAGATTAGACAGTTAGTTGAGACATGATTGAAAGACATAATAATAACAGTTTGTTTTCATTTGCTAAAGTGTACCAACCTCTCTGAATAGACTAAAACCAGTTAAATAAATTATGCAACTCTCATTTTGCTGATTTTGTTCAGATCCTTACCCACAAGTTGTTTCAGTTGTCGACTTTCCTTTGTAATGTGTGTTTCCCTTGGCAAGAATTTGATTGCATTGTATGGACATATCTGCAATGCAAATAAATGTGGTTTAAATATTAACCGCTATCTGTGAGATTTTCACAAATGACAAGTTTCCAGAACACTCACCCAAAGGAACCTGCAGGTGCACAGTATCCCCTGGAATGTCCATGTAAAAACAGTCCACAGGATATAAGCTTTCATACTGAAGCATGTTCACCTGACTGGGGAACGAATTACTGTTAATGCAGCTTAGGAAAAAGTGAAGTAGCACAGTTGATATGACATTGTATCTCTACATTACTGTGTCTATGTCATTTGTAAATGGATGCTGCCATGCTATGACCTCATACACAAACACTTAAAAACAAAACATAAATCTCAGCTATACTAGAACACGTATAGACAGAACTGGAAACTGACCTCTGCCAAAGATGCAACTATATGCAGAAGGAAACAATCCCATGTAAGATCATAAGGACACAGTGGCTCTCATTCCTGCTCACTGGACCTCTGTCCTAGTCCATGGTGAATGCTCACTGACCTGCTGCAATGTGACCAGTGCTGCTGATGACTGCCGGGTAGGTAAATCTTGTTTAATCTTCTTAATCTCACACAGTCTAGTCACATCCAGGCTGCTTAATTTGGTCTACTGAGCCGTAACCAGTAATAATGTGGATAAACCTTCATGTGCAGTGCAACTGTTACATGTATTTGGTATTCACAAATGATTTGGGCAGTTTCCTACCAGAGTACAGTGATCTGTAGCAGTGTTTTGGGAATCCAAGTCTACGTTAAAAAATTACACATCGAAGCTGTTTAGTTAGAATTTCTTCAAACAAACAAGTTTCACACAGACATACTTTCACTACCACTGTGGGGATATACATAGTGTCTGTTTTTGCATTTTATCATGGCTTAACCTTTGAATCACAGGGCAGAGGAAGTGCCCACAACTGCAGAAGGGGCCAAGAAGGAGAAATTACACATCCAGAACTCCCTTAAGGCTTGTGGATACCCAAAGTGGGCCTTCACCAAAGCAAGGAAGAGGCCCAACACCAACAGGGAGAAACCAGAAACAAGAGGGGATAACACTGTCATCCCTTTTGTGGCTGGTTTATCAGAGACGTTAAAAAGGATCTTTGGCAACCACAATATCCCAGTTATAGGCTCTATTCCATTATAAAGCCTCGTCCGGTTCTTTCAAACCAGGAACTCAGAGGGACGACTCAGACCACTTGAGTATATAAAAAATATAACCGTGCTGGTTTATTCAAAGAGTCACAGGCAAGAATTCACACTTCCAGTCTCGAGATCTTCCAACCCCCAGCCTGCCAAAGCAGCCCGGAAGCAGAAAAGACCCCGAACCAAGAATTCCTATACAATATTAATCATTTCTGGGCTGTCGAACCGTGACGTCACCTGATATGCCAGCTTGGCAGCTGAGCAGAGCAGTAGACAAAACATGAAGAAAATAATGTGTGTGGCTGTTGTTTTCGTGGTGTGTATCTAAAACAATTTGACATAACATTACACATTAAGACAAATATTATGGTTACTTTTACCATCATAATAACATTTGTCCCTGACTTGAGCCCTTCTGCCTTAACCAACCTTGCATTTA